CCCAAAAGCCTCAAGCTAGTTCATCGCATCAGACCTCTTTGAGCTAAAAATAAAAACTTAAGCACCTCCTTTAGTTGATTGTAGATTTTTCCAGTAGAAGCCTTTATAACTTAAAACACACGGAACCCTTTCTCTTTCCCTGGTTTTCTTGCCACTGAACCCTTGTAGAAAAACACTTCGAATGATATCTTATTTTGCTTCTTAAACCTGCTTATGCATTTGTTTAGGGAAAGTTGTGGCATGTAATAGCGTGCCAATAGTTTGGAGTTATTATTTGTTAGTACAGGAAGGAGGCTTTCCTTTTGCGTTCAACCTATAAGATATGGCAATTCAATCTCTTACTCTCCTTGCTGGTGATTTTAAGTATGGCAGCTGTATTTGTTTTTGCTTCAATTTATCATATTTTTTCTGGATTAATTATCATTTAATATTTAGAAATGTGGTTTCCATTTTCACTTGAAGTCATCCTCACCCCTTCCTTTCAGCTTTATCTTCAATTTTTTTTTTCCCTTATCATTCTTTGCTTCACCTTCCTTTTCAAAAACCTTAAATCAAAACATTTAGTCTCATTTTCTTTCTGTATGTTGTGCTCTTTATTTCTCATTCTTTGTTCTGTTCTTTTACCTAGCACATCTTTATTTTTATAGACATTCATCTTTCCATATAGACAAGATTATATTACATCTATTGATTTTCTGCCAAAAACTTTCTCATGTGATATCGTAATTGTATTGCAGCAATCTGCTATAATTTCACCTTTGGGTTGTGTAAAGGGCCAGTTGATGCTATTTTCAGTTTTATTTTTACTAAAAGTTGTCTGAGCCCACACACATTAATTGTCTCATTGAACAGTTTATTTTTAAGTTCTTATCACTCTCTTTATTATGAGATTTCAAGCTTCTTAGCAGCATGTTGATTTCAAAAAATCGTAATACCAAAGTAGTTTGATCTGTGGTTTTCAATTATATTATATTATTGCATATGTTTTTCCTTCTCAGATTTCATGGCATCTGATTCCATATTTGAAATATTGACTGTTTAAAAGTTTGAATAAAAATCTTGTGTTTGAGAGGACTATATTTATCTTTTGTAAATATCTTTACGTGATTGGACTCCGTATTTGCAGATGATTTGCTGTGAGCTTGAGGAAAAATGTTCATGCTCCTTGGGGAATTTTATCTAGGAGATAATGTGCATCATTTGCTAGGGGGGGATTTGAAGTGGGAATGTTTCTATAGTTGATAACATTAAGCTAGCCAAGTTTGACTGAACTTTGTGAAGTATTTCTGATCTTCTTTATCTTAATCTTTCTCGTCCTAGCCCTTATCTTCTTTGACATGCCTCATAAGAATTGGTACTTTTTGTTTTTCTACAAGACATATAATTATTGATATTTTGGTTATCTTCTCATTTCATTTTACTTATGTTCCAATACTGTATTATGGGAGCATGGTTTCTGTCTTCATCTTCACATATATATTTGAATCCTTGATTTGATGTATATGATCTATAGGTGAATTTGGTGTGTGAAATGAGTATTATCTATTTTATGTAATTTTTGGAGCGCTTTTGTATATTAAATACTTTTTTTGGTAATCTAATTTTAATGAAAGGTTCATGAGTAATTTGTTTATTCTACTGCAACCTCCTTGCTTCTAATATATTTCAAGGAACATATTATCTGGAGGACTTTCAGCTGATGTCCAAAGTATTCAGTGAGTAAACAAATTCTTAAAATATTGCTCAATGATTGGGTTTGTGTGTGCATTTTGTTGCTTTTTACACGTTTTGGTTTGAGAGTGATTTGAACTACAAGATACTTTAATAATTTGTCCAAGGATCTTGTGTTTAATCTCGGTATGTGAACTCTACTGAGGATGTTTTTAACTAACTCAACTATACCGAGTTAATAAAATAGTTGTGATCGACTTCATGGATTCTTTTCCTTTATCTCATTTTGTTTTGAGTTACTCCCTGAGATACAGGAGAACCCATCTTTTAGTATCTTTCTTATTTTAAGCTTGTTTCATCAAAGTTTATGTTTATTTTTTCATCCAGTATATTTTATGGTTTACAGTTGGATTTTGTCTTTCTTTCTTATTTATTTATTAATTTTTATGGGTTGAGGAACTTCAATGATATTTGCTATATTTGCTATTTCTATTTTATTGGCTTAATTGTGTGCCTAAAAAATTGTAAAAATATGCAATGAGTTGCGTGAAAAAAGTACAGAACTATTTCGCTCCTTTTTTCTCTCTTTTTTGTGTGGAACAGTATAATGTATGTGTAAATTACATCATTGCACCTTGTTTTCTAGAGATGAAATGAACTTAGTGGCTTTATTTTTAATTTGCCTATTTTGAGTCATAATTTTAAATCTGTTTCATACTTGTAAACATATTTAATCATTTTTTTGTGGTTGCTCCTTGTTGCACCTCCTAGAGCTTTTTCTTTGTAAATGTGCTTATGCAAACAACAATTGTTAATTTTGATATGGAATCTTTTTTTGAAAAATTACACATTTTAGTAATTTTTTTGAAAGAAAGACATAGGTTGAAAAAGTATTTGAGAAATTGCACATTTTGAACACAACCATGTTTATGAATATAGTTTGTTTAGTCATGTTTCAAAATACATTTTTTTTTGTGTAAATTAATTAATGGGAGAAAAAAAAATGGAAAGAAAGAATAGGTTATCGAGAACTCACCGGAGTTTTGTTTTCAATACTCCTAGCACCGTTAGAAAAATCTCATTGAGATGATTCTTATTAGTTCTTGAAAGATCATCAAATGAGGTCATAATTAATCCTAAATTAACCCTAATAAAATTCATAACCAATTACAATTTTGTTTGGTGCACTTTCAATGCGTGCTTAGTTACATCTTGTTGATATTTTTTTAATAATATTAGGTGTGTTGAAAACAGAGCTCTAGTATGTTCCTAGTGACTTATTTTTTTTTTATTTATTTTTTTGGGTTTCATTCTTTTATATGTTACATCAACTTATATCCTTTCATATGTGGTTAGTTACATCTTGTTGAGATCTTTTTAATAGTATTAAGTGTGTCGAAAACGGAGCTTAGTATTAAGTGTGTCGAAAACAAAGCTTTAATGTATTTTTGGTGACTAATTTTTATTTTTATTTTTTGTTTCGATCTCTCTCATATTACATCAGCTTATTTCCTTTTTCTTTTTTAATCATTAGATCTTTCTCATTTCTTGGCCATTGGATCTCTATGAAATTCTAGGTTGATTTTTGTATATGTTAACTAATTTGAATGAGATGTGAATTTTGAAACAATCACTAGCTATTTCCAATAGTGAAAATAACGGTTTTTACCTTTCTAAGCATGGTTTAGAAAAAAATTAATAAAATAGCACAATTTTAACATAACCACCAAAACTTTATTAAACTGTGTTAGAAAGGTAAATTACGCTTTCGATCTGCTTCAAACTCCCCTTGTGTAATGAACATGCTAGGACGTCCACCAGAATTATTACTGCACTGGTCTCCCCCCATCTCTCACACACATTCATATCCAAAGTTGATAGAATAGATAGCCTGCGAATATTCATGATGGAATAAAGGTTCTCAGAGATCAGTGTACTGGCCAGAGACTGCTGTGTTCCTTGATTGTTGCCCTTTTCTTGGAAGCATTTACGTGGATTCTGTTTTTCACTGTGTGCGCAATAATGATGGAGAATTAGTGGCGCTGATGATAACTTCCACGAAGGGTTGGTAGGCATCTATTATTTGCTTGATTTGTAATTTTGCACTTTTTTTTTTTATTAACGTGAGTGTCCAGACCAACTTGCACACACCACACGCACTACGATTAATTCCACGGTCTATTAAATATCTTGTAAGTCCAGTGAACAGGTAAGGCATAGGGACGACAAACATACCTTTTTGCACACTTTTTTTTGCACATTTCTTGTTCGATGATGTGGGTGGTGGAAAAGGCTTTTAGAGAATCTTTGCTCAAAATATATTGCGGTCGACTGTTCATAATTCAGTCAAGCAGAATCTCCATTGCTTTGACTCATTAATTGTCAAATGGCTTATATCCCAGTTCTTGCTGGGACTGGCATGGCGGCTCCATCACTTACCGATTAGTGAAGGGAAACTTATCGTTTAGCCAACAGTCAGTATATTGGAGTAGAGTCTTATAAGATCATTTATATGTTCGTCGTGCACTGTCATCTTCCAAAAATACTTTGGTGATGATGCTACTAAAATAAATCTAGCTGGGGGTTAGCTGAGACATGCTCAAAGTACTTGGGTGATGCTAGGATAAATAGTGACGAAATGGAGCGGTAATGATTGTGTGTATATGACGGGATAAATATAAAGGGGGGAATACTAATTTGCCAGTGTGAGCAAAGCTGTACTTAAATTGTGTGTATGAACAACTTTACTTTGATCTTTGCATTTGTGGGCTAAGGCTCGTTTGGAAGTGTTTTTAAAAAAAATTAATTTTTTTTCTTTATATTAATATTTTATTTTAGTATTTTTAGATTATTTTAATGGGTTAATATTAAAAATAATTTTTTTAAAATATTATTTTAATTAAAAAATATTTTGGTACATTTAAACACTCTTCAAGCCTTACTGCTCTGGCGGGATTATAAGATGGAATCAGATACACTGTTAAAATAGAAAGGAGAGCGAACAGCGGGGGGAAAAAGAAGAAGAAAGAAACACTTGGGATCCTGTATGACATATGATATCAACTTCTATGATTTTACTTGGTGGTCCTCGAAGAAGCATCAATTGTCCAAATGGCGACAACAATTAATGGATTAACGTTATGAGCACACCTGTTTTGCCCATTCACCTCTTCCACCACCTAAACAGAGGTGATCATCAGTTTTATCCATCTTTAAACCTTAGTTTTTCATGTTTATTAGTGGGCATCTGTTAGCCATGAGATCATTCCATAAGCCCAGCCCATTTGCACATATAGCAGTTTATCAGCAACAACAGAAACTCTGACTAATTGTGTGGCTAAAGATCATAATCATCACGTTTCTCGAATTAATCATTGCCGCAGCTCACAGTTCTAGAGTGCTCTCTAACCATGCAAGGAAAATACGATAATTATGCATAATACCATTATCCTAAACAGGCCTCCTCGTAATCTAAGTAGATTAACAAAGTTAGATAACAAGTCACTGAGAAACAAACAGTGTATCTGGAGTGAGGAGGCTTTCACTATTCTCCTACTTCACTTCTTCCTCTTCTTTGGGGGCTGGAGGGCTTCCTCATCTTCATCTTCTTCTTCCTCTTCGTTCTCTACCTCCTCAACTTCTTCCTCAGCCTCTTCCCCGCCGTCATCGTCATCGTCATCATCGTCGTCGTCGTCATCATCTTCTTCATCGTCGTCTTGACCTTCGCCATCATCTTCATCATCGTCTTGTTCCTCTTCTCCATTCTCGTCTGCCCCGCCTGCTCCACCACCTGGACCCTTCTTTGAGTTACTCTTGTTATTGTTGGGATTGTTGCCCAAGTCACCTCCATCTTCAGAGGACAGTTCCTCTTCACCTTCTCCTAATCCATCACCCCCTTCCTCCTCATCGTCGTCATCATGATCATTGTCATCATCTCCTTCTGCATCAACTGGATTAATATCATGCCCTTGTGCCTCATCTCCCTTCATTCTAGGTTTAGCAGTCAGCAACAACCCACAGGGATCCTGAAACCATTTTTTTATGAAATAGCATTTCATAGTGGGTCTAACAGAGAGACTTTACTTACATCTTAGGCAATAGATCATTGTACGGCACAAGGTCTCCAAAATAATACAATAAATAGCTGAGCTGTACGATACAGTTTTCCACGACTGGGATAAACAAAAGGCAGTATCATGTGTGCTTAAAAAATAAACAGAAAAACATGAAGTAGCTACAGGGTATCTGTCGTTGCAAAACCCATCGCTACTGACATTATAGACGTTTGTTGAATGCAAACGTGTATATATATTCAAATAAAGGAATTGTCTTCATTTTGTTTAAGTTTCATATTTAAAGTTCAAAAAGTATTTGCTAACCTCTGAAGTAAAATTTCCAAATCCCACACTACTCTCTTTTTTTCCGCCTTAAAGAAACTTTTCAACTTCTAGCTACATCAATTTAGGACACTTTTTGAATTTCATGAAACAATAAGCCTGTGCGACAAGTGTGTAAATTAAAAGAAATAAGTGAATTAACAAGAATGGAATTCTCAGCTGGTTGATGGAATAGTATC